CTGGACCCTTCTCTCTCTCACACTCACACAGGCTGGACCCTTCTCTCTCACACACTCACACAGGCTGGACCCTTCTCTCTCTCACACTCACACAGGCTGGACCCTTCTCTCTCTCACACTCACACAGGCTGGACCCTTCTCTCTCACACACTCACACAGGCTGGACCCTTCTCTCTCTCACACTCACACAGGCTGGACCCTTCTCTCTCACACACTCACACAGGCTGGACCCTTCTCTCTCTCACACTCACACAGGCTGGACCCTTCTCTCTCACACACTCACACAGGCTGGACCCTTTTCTCTCTCACACTCACACAGGCTGGACCCTTCTCTCTCACACACACTCACACAGGCTGGACCCTTCTCTCTCTCACACTCACACAGGCTGGACCCTTCTCTCTCTCACACTCACACAGGCTGGACCCTTCTCTCACACTCACACAGGCTGGACCCTTCTCTCTCTCACACTCACACAGGCTGGACCCTTCTCTCTCTCACACTCACACAGGCTGGACCCTTCTCTCTCACACACTCACACAGGCTGGACCCTTCTCTCTCTCACACTCACACAGGCTGGACCCTTCTCTCTCTCACACTCACACAGGCTGGACCCTTCTCTCACACTCACACAGGCTGGACCCTTCTCTCTCTCACACTCACACAGGCTGGACCCTTCTCTCTCACACACTCACACAGGCTGGACCCTTCTCTCTCACACACTCACACAGGCTGGACCTTCTCTCTCACACACTCACACTGGCTGGACCCTTCTCTCACACTCACACAGCTGGACCCTTCTTTCTCACACACTCACACAGGCTGGACCCTTCTCTCTCACACACTCACACAGGCTGGACCTTCTCTCTCACACACTCACACTGGCTGGACCCTTCTCTCTCACACACTCACACAGGCTGGACCCTTCTTTCTCACACACTCACACAGGCTGGACCTTCTCTCTCACACACTCACACAGGCTGGACCTTCTCTCTCACACACTCACACTGGCTGGACCCTTCTCTCACACTCACACAGGCTGGACCCTTCTTTCTCACACACTCAAACAGGCTGGACCCTTCTCTCTCACACACTCACACAGGCTGGACCTTCTCTCTCACACACTCACACAGGCTGGACCTTCTCTCTCACACACTCACACAGGCTGGACCTTCTCTCTCACACTCACACAGGCTGGACCCATCTCTCTCACACACTCACACAGGCTGGACCTTCTCTCTCACACTCACACAGGCTGGACCCATCTCTCTCACACACTCACACAGGCTGGACCCTTCTCTCTCTCACACTCACACAGGCTGGACCCTTCTCTCTCTCACACTCACACAGGCTGGACCCTTCTCTCTCACACACTCACACAGGCTGGACCCTTCTCTCTCACACACTCACACAGGCTGGACCTTCTCTCTCACACACTCACACTGGCTGGACCCTTCTCTCACACTCACACAGGCTGGACCCTTCTCTCTCACACACTCACACAGGCTGGACCTTCTCTCTCACACACTCACACAGGCTGGACCTTCTCTCTCACACTCACACAGGCTGGACCTTCTCTCTCACACTCACACAGGCTGGACCCTTCTCTCTCACTCTGACCAACACATTCCAACACTCATCAGTGCCCTGTCACAAATAATTGGTTCCAGTCCCCCAGCCAAGTAGACCAACACTCCTCTTCCTTACCCTGAAACCTGTCAACTCACAACTCATAACTTCACAAGCACAAGAGTTAACATAACATAAATAACAGAACACTTAGAAATCATGTTTATTTTTATGAGTGCGGAATTAAGGAAATAAGTCCTGTAAATTCAATTCTGTTACCTTCCGGGTGACTGAGATAAGAAAGATAAGAACTGGTTGTCTGCAAATTCCTTGATTGTCAGATAGCCGTAGATTCTGTATTACTCATAGGAGGCATGATACTTGTGAGCAGGTAGTGTTACTTAAAAGGGAGGTTATCTTGTGGTTATCTTGTGGTTATCTTGAGATGATTTCGGTACTTAGCGTCTCGTGGTCCCGCGGCCTGGTCCTTAACCAGGCCTCCTTTTTTTTTTTTTTGCACTTTTTCGGAATTTTAAGTAATTGAAAACTAATCCAAGGTTACACTAGACTTTCGCATCGGACCCATATTGCATGTGATACACGTCTGAAGAGATCATAGATTACGGCCTGTTATAGTTTGCGGATGACACGAAACAATTGATGCATCTGAGGATAGAACACAACTGCAAAATAGCTTGCAGGAATTGAACACTAACTACACGATAAGATCGGGTACGTGGTTACTGGACAGCAACTGAAATAAATGCAAGGTGACGAGAATGAAGACAGAAAGAATATGCCCAGCTGTATCCTTCCATCTAAGAGCTTAAATTAAAAAAAAAAATAAGATGGATATTAAACCGATTCTATTCCATGCACCTTTTACATTAGCTGGACTCTATTCCATCCACCCTTTATATCAATTGCATTTCATGAGAAGCATAAAGAATCCTAAAGAAAAGAAAGGTGGCCTTTGCAGACAGCAAGCCACAACAACCTGGCTGCAAACTACACACCCGACCCACACACCTGAAAATAAGAGAAATGACGACGTTTCCGTCAGCCGCGGACCAGTATACCAGGTCGTGTACTCATCTGGTCTTCAAGAACACCAACACGAAGGCGTCGACCATCAAAATCTGCTCATCAAATGTCAATAATCATCACTAACGTGATGATGAATCTCGTTAATGTTGTTTCATTGCGTCTTTATCGACGATCATTCGAAGAGAACCATTGAACCATTAGCCAGAGGGCAGGGGGGGAGAGGGTGGTGGGGGGGGGGGGTGTGTCAGTGTTTACAACCCTGATTGGGCTTCAGATGTAAGCCTCAGGAATCCTAGAGGATTCAGTGGGATTTCAGGTTGCATTGCCTTTGACCATGTCGAGGCGTTGTGGTCTAGGGCGGTAGCTTAGGTTGTACCAAGTGAGCGGGGTTCGAGTCCTTCTCACGGCCCCTATTGATTTTTTTCGTTGATACTTAACGTTAATGGGATTTCATTGTACATGCATTCAAATATTTAAAACAAAAATATAATCAAAATGGGTGTGTTCTAATATCCTAATTCACATATATTATAATTTTGAGTTATTAGGCATTCGGGTTTGATCAGTTTATTGGCTCTGATGGCAGTAGAACCTCGTTTCTTGCTTTATTGAAATACACTGACAGTTTACTTCAGTGTCTCAGTAGGTTCAGGATTTAAAGTACACTCGCTGGTTGGTCAGTAAGGTAGTGTGGTGGTCTTAATAACCCTCTAGGGGTTGATAGGCTTTATTTAAGCTTAACAGTAGTCCCAGCTGCTCGCGTAAATCCATATATTATATATTCTGATACGTCAAGACAGCCACACACTCACTCAAACATATTCCGATATACATATACACCGCACACACCTCACACACCGCACACACCTCACACACCGCACACACCTCACACACCGCGCGCACACACACACACACACACACACACACACACACACACACACACACACACACACACACACACTCACACACACAGTCACACACACACACACACACACACACACACACACACACACACACACACCACACACACACACACACACACTCACACACACAGTCACACACACACACACACACACACTCACACACACGTCACACACACACACACACACACACACCACACACACACACACACACACACACACACACACACACACACACACACACACACTCACACACACAGTCACACACACACACACACACACACACACACCACACACACACACACACTCACACACACACACACACACACACACACACACACACACACACACACACACACACACACAGTACATGAAGTACTTAATGAAACAGACAGAGAGAACGATCTAGGAGTTGATATCACACCAAACCTGTCTCCTGAAGCCCACATAAAGAGAATAACGTCTGCGGCATATGCGAGGCTGGCTAACATCAGAACGGCGTTCAGGAACCTGTGAAAGGAATCATTCAGAATCTTGTACACCACATATGTAAGACCAATCCTGGAGTATGCGGCCCCAGCATGGAGCCCGTACCTTGTCAAGCACAAGACGAAGCTGGAAAAAGTCCAAAGGTATGCTACTAGACTAGTCCCAGAACTAAGAGGCATGAGTTATGAAGAAAGGCTGCGGGAAATGCACCTTACAACACTGGAAGACAGAAGAGTAAGGGGGGACGTGATCACAACCTACAAAATCCTCAGGGGAATCGACCGGGTAAACAAGGATGAACTATTCAACACTGGTGGGACGCGAACAAGGGGACACAGGTTGAAACTGAGAACCCAAATGAGCCACAGAGACGTTAGAAAGAACTTTTTCAGTGTCAGAGTAGTTAGTAAATGGAATGCATTAGGAAGTGATGTGGTGGAGGCTGACTCCATACACAGTTTCAAATGTAGATATGATAGAGCCCAATAGGCTCAGGAATCTGTACACCAGTTGATTGACGGTTGAGAGGCGGGACCAAAGAGCCAGAGCTCAACCCCCGCAAGCACAATTAGGTGAGTACACATACATACTACTTTCTAAGAAAAAAAGACACACTTTCACACACACATCACACACTTATGTGTCGATAATGAAATGCCACTTTCATGGTAGAAGTGTTGGAGAGTCCACTCTGAAAGGACGCAGTTGGCCAGAGTTGTGTGACAGTTACGCCAGCCTTTGATGAGTCGCAACTGGCCAGTGTGAAAATAAAACCCAAGCGAGGACAACAAATTTTTGGAGGGCTGCAGAGTAGGGAACAATCAGGATAATTATACCTGTGGAGAATCTCAGCAAGAAATACTGCCTCAGGTGTAACACCGCGAGAGAGAGAGTGTCCTCCGGCAGCGCTGTGAGGTCCTACTTTTCCCAACACAAACGTCCCAAACTAGGGACCACTATTCCCTTGGAAGTCAGACCTCTGCAAAGCCATTTCCGTCAGGAATCTCAGGGGTGTAGGACATCGTGGCTTCAGAGACCCCACAGGCCTGCATATACCTGTCGGCTTGAACTGATTCCAGACCAGAAACATCAATTATATCCCTATCAATAATAAGATCATCTGGGTTCTTAAACCACTCTCTAATTATGGAAAAAAAACTGACATAATTAGAGAAAACTGACATAAAAACTGACAAGAACTGACGTTCTTGCCTCCGTCCTAAAGTAGACGGAGGCAAGAACGAGGATTTTGGGGTCCCACGTTTCTTGTATGTTCCCTTAAGGTGCTTGTCTTATCCAGGCTTACATCTTTCATAAGGTAAATACCATGTTTCGACAGCCAAAACATTAAGCCATGACCTTTAAAGTACTAAACTTCTCCCTGGAAGACTGCGAGTGAGATCATTCTAGTTAGTGGAACAAGTATCCGCAAGGAACGCATATAGTATTTTCCTATATTCATATCCTCCTGTACCGCTGTTAATGAGTGTGCAGAAGAGATCCAACCGGAGCACTTAACAAAATTTAATTGAAATTCATGATGCCATGTTCACTGAAGGAGCCAGTCAGTAGGATATGCTTGCAGGTCATTCATCCTGACCCATCACAATCGCTTCCCCAAGCGATTGTAACTATCCCCACTGGGATACCCTCTAAGTGTAAAACATTGCGTCAACAATGCTTGACGCAGTTTCATGAAAATATAAAGCATGACTCCTTGCTGTACAAACCTCTCATTCTTGAGTTTTCATATTAATTGGACATGAGTTCTCGTTGAGCTTCGCCTCAACCATTTAGCCCTTAGTATTGGTGTTGCAGGTAGCCTTGCCACCCATATCCATGCAACACACGTGTATCTGCTGCAATGCGGCTGAACACCAATATGGCCACCATAGTCTCGTCTCTCATAACGTAGAGGGAACGATTGCAAAGCAAGAAGTATTCCGTGCCGTTAAAGAGAAGTAAAACTTCAGTCATTGGCCCAGTATCAATGAAACCCTAATTGTGGAGACCTGGTGGCAAACTGATGCATTCAGATGGCTCACCCTGCAAAATTAGACGTATGGGAAATAGGTCTTCCGAAGATTCCACGTCTACAACTACAACCTATCTTCAGTGCTGCTTCTATGGGGACCCAAGGTATAGAGACCCGGGGCGTTATTACAGGTTCGTGCCAAAAGGATTAGAAACCCTAGGCGCTCGAAGTAAATTTGAACATAATTTCCTAGAAGAGATGGGAGTGGAACTCGTTAGACAAATCCAAGACCAAAGAGCAGCGAATTTCTTGTTCCAGAACCTCAGTATAGTGATCCATAGAGCCAATATCTGCTGTTTTTGTACAGTAATTGGCATGTATTTTTGAGCTTTGCCAGCTGTTCCACAGTTTTTAAATTTCATAAAAAGACGTACTAAATTTAGGTGGTAAATAAAAACAATAAATCAATTGAGAAACTGCAAGTCTTCCCTGGATGCCTTCCTTCTCCGAGGCTATGGGTCCAAACAATTACACACCAGAGGTGGTAACCAAATAAATTATGTACAATGTTAATATATATATATATGTATATATATATATATATATTGATATATATATATAAAATGTGAAAAGTATATATATATATATAGATATTTATATATACAGTGAAGAAAAGCGATATATATATATATACCTATCATATTGAACAACATATATACTGCTATATATATATATATATATATATATATGCATATATATATATATATGTATATAAAATAGAAAATGCTTAACGCGTTTTCGGCTACTGTTGGAGGTTCGCCTTCATTATTACAGAGATTAGAACGTATCTCTGATTTTATATCTACATTTGAGTGAATCATTAACACAAGACAGAACAGTAGAAGTGATTCCTATACTTGATGCTTCTATATTGCTCTGAGGTGGGTAAATATAGTTGTGCGATTGCTGGTGTTGACTTAGCCTCGAAAAAGCGCGTATCGCTGTAAGCATTTTCTCTGGCGATTTTTATGGGAAGAGATTATATGTTCACCCTGTTGCTTATGTGGCCTAGAAAGAGATTTGTTGTCTGCCTATATACTTGGAGCTTACAGTCCCCAAGTGTTTTTGTGATTCAGAGTTTCTCATGAGTGCATAGTAAATCGTCAGTTGTATATTTTTGTCTGTAGGGATAACGTTTCTATATATAGGACCCTTTCCTCCGTTTTATAGCTGTGGATTCCTGTATATAATAGGGGGTATATGTTGTGTTAGTAGAGGACAAATAAATATATCTGATATCATATATATATATTCATATGGAGAAATAGCAACATCGATAGTATATTGAACAACACCTATATATATAAACAAGGATATAAGAACCTCTGAGAGACAACTCGTACCTTTTCCACAGCTCATAAAACGGAGGAAAGGGTCCTGAAAGATATTGTTAATAGAAACCCCTACAGACAAAAATCAGAGGATACAACTGAACGAAAAAAACGGCCACTTATCAGCCAAAACAGAACGCTTTAAAAGAGACTAATGTCATGCCTTCAAATGCCCGATTTGCCTCTCTTTCTTGGCGTTTAACGATGCATAAGCAACAGGCTCCATTAAGGAACATTAATCTCATAACCAAACCATCGCCAATTAGTAAACAACACAGAAATCATCGTTTAGCAGGCGGCTTGACGTTTGCGAGGCTACACATCACAACACCAGCAATCAACAGCCAATTATTGCACCTAATTCTACCCACCTCAACTCCGCTCCAATATAGAAGCATTATGGACCAATAGGCTTTCTACAAACACTTCTATTCAATACCCATTGTTTCTGTTCTGTCTTGTGTTGATACTTTAATACCCTAAATATCCCCTCCTGTTCTGTCTTGTGTTAACCTACCCTACTCAAAGTAGATATAAAATCAGAGTACGTTAGTTGTGTATTTGTAAAGTCTTTGAAAATGTAATAAGTTTTACGAAACGCGCCCGTTCGCGTCAGACTAGAAATAAAAATGAATTTTGGAGAAGTGATTTTTTGATTTACCTCCAACAGTGAAGCGTAATGTACGAAAGATTGAGAAAATAGAATCTACGGTCATAAATAATTATGTCTACAGGAAAGACTGCCAAAATAACTAAAATATATATATATATATATATATATATATATATATATATATATATATATATATATATATATATATATATATTGTCGTACCTAGTAGCCAGAACTCACTTTTTGGTCTACTATTCAAGGCCCGATTTGCCTAATAAGCCAAGTTTTCATGAATTAATTGTTTTTCGACTACCTAACCTACCTAACCTAACCTAACCTAACTTTTTCGGCTACCTAACCAAACCTAACCTATAAAGATAGTTAGGTTAGGTTAGGTAGGGTTGGTTAGGTTCGGTCATATATCTACGTTAATTTTAACTCCAATAAAAAATTGACCTCATACATAATGAAATGGGAAGCTTTATCATTTCATAAGAAAAAAATTTGAGAAAATATATTAATTCAGGAAAACTTGGCTTATTAGGCAAATCGGGCCTTGAATAGTAGGCTGAGAAGTGCGTTCTGGCTACTAGGTACGACATATATATATATATATATATATATATATATATATATATATATATATATATATATATATATATATATATATATATATATATATATATATGTATATAATGAGTGAGTGTGTTTATAAATACAATCTAATAACGCATCTCCGCCTCTGCATAACAAGGAATAGAACAAATAACATCCGGGCTAACTCTCTATATTTGGGTTGACGTTTCCCAAAGCCATAATATATATTTGCCTCGGGGTTGGAGTGGGTAATATCCCCACTCTCGTCATTCCTCGCAACATTGCGGCGTCCCCCCACCAACCAAAAAAAAAAAAATCCCAGATAACTATCTGCCTCTCAGTGGGTGTTGTTGAGCCAGTGGACGCTGCACAATGGTTGCTTTAATACACGCTGTGCAATACCAGAGAGAGGTAAACAGTGTTGTGGGCCTGCTCATGGACCCAGTGTGGTTGGGGGGGGGGCCGGTGTGGTTGAGGAGGGGGGGGGGGGTCGCTTTATTAACGCATAACTGTTAAGGTCGTCATACCATCACACTGAATAGGATTTCCAGATTAGAGTGTGTGTATTTTTGGTCAGAGTACTTAGAGGATTCGATGTATATCGGTTTGGGAAAGTATATTAAAGGTGAGTGTTTGTGTATTTGAAACTACCTCCCGCGGTGTTCTCACCTAGTTGTGCTTGCAGGGGTTGAGTTTTGGCTCTTTGGTCCCGTCTCTCAACTGTCAATCAACTGGTGTATAGATTCCTGAGCCTACTGGGCTCTATCATATTTACATTTGAAATTGTGTATGGCGTCAGCCTCCACCACATCACTGCCTAATGCATTCCATCCGTTAACTACTCTGACACTGAAAAAGTTCTTTCTAACGTCCCTGTGGCTCATTTGGATACTCCGTCTCCACCTGTGTCCCCTTGTTCGCGTACCACCCGTTTTAAAAAGTTTATCCTTGTCAACCCTGTCAATTGTTCTGATAATTTTGTAGTCACCCAATGCAATGTCACCCAAAATAATGAGATCAAAATGAAAATAAATCGAAATCTATGAAAATTAAATTTATCAATGCAATCGGAAACATTGAAATGGAATCGTAACATATTTAGTATAGCGTGTATTGCTATTACATGCAACAGATGGCTTTCTTTTTCAAAATAAGCATGTTTTTATCTGTCACAGGTGTGGCATCTATATAGAAGATATATAAAAACAAGCGTGTATTCGAATGGAACGCTGTGTCAAAATTTCAAAGCAATCGGTGAAGAACTTAAGGAGATTACTGAGTGTGTGTTGCTCTTTCGTCCAACTGTTAAAAAAAAAAAAATTCCTGTCACAGGTGAGGCATGTATATAGTAGGTATATAAAAACACGCGCCTATTCAAATGCAAGGTTGTGTTAAAATTTCAAAGCAATCAGCAAAGAGGTTTCGAAGATTTCCCTCACATGAAAAACACATGAAAAACACAGTTTTTCAAAAAAAACTATTTTTTTTTCCCGTCACAGACGTAACACTATATATTTTGTATATAAAAACCTGCTCGGATGCTAATGGAACGTTGTGTGAAAAT